AGGGGTTGGGGGGTGGGGAGCAGGGTTTCGGGGGCAGGGGTAGGGTTTGGGGGCTGGGGTTTAGGGGCTGCGGTTTAGGGTTTAGGGTTTAGGCGGCTAGGGTTTAGGGGGCTAGGGTTTAGGGTTTACGGTTCAAGGCCTAGGCGTTAGGGTTTAGGGGTAAGGGTTTAGGGTTTGGAAAGGGGGCCCAGCTGGGGATAGCGGGAAATAAGGCACGCGGGCGCAGTCTTGTGGGCGGCAGCAACTGCTGCTGCTGCTGCTGCTGCTGCTGCTGCTGGAGAACTGCTGCTGCTGCTGTAGTTGCTGCTGCACTGTTGCTGCCGCTGCTGCTGTTGCTCTGTTATTGGCACTCTTGCTGCGGCTGCGGCTCTGTTAGTGCGACTGCTGCTGCTGCTGCTACTGCTGCTCTGTTGCTGCTGCTGCTGCAGCTCTGTTGCTGCTGCTGCTGCTGCTGCTGCAGCTGTTTCGTTGCGTCTGCATTTGCTGTGAGCTGCAGCTGGCGAGGGAGCGGTCTCGTCCCCTGAGGGACTGGCTGTTGCTGCGGGCAACAGCAGCAACTCTGGAGCAGCAGCAGCAGCAGCAGGAGGCGGACCCGGCAGCAGCAGCAGCAACAGCAGCAGCAACAGCAGCAGCAGCGGCGCCTGGCCTTGTGCCCCCTTGGGCGCAGCTCTCTCGGCTGCGTCAGCAGCTGCCCTTCTTTGGCGCTGCTGCTTCGCCGCAGCAGCAGCAGCAGCAGCAGCACGAGCAGCAGCACGCAGACGCGCAGCAGCAGCAGCAGCAGCAGCAGCAGCAGTGGGGGGCGTCGTCGGGCCGGCTGCTGCGGCTGCTGCTGCACCTGCGAGGTGGAGATACACCCCAGCTGCTGCAGGGCCAACTGCAAATTTGCTTCTCCAAACAAAAACATTATCATGCAAAGAATCTCGTGGCCGACCGTTTGTGGGCTTCTGTGGGGTCCTTCAACTTCGACAGGTGCTGCTGCTGCTGCTGCTGCTGCTGCTGCTGCTGCTGCTGCTGCTGGTTGGGTGCCGCGGCTGCTGCTGCAGCTGCTGCTCTGGTGCTGCTGGTGCTGCTGCTGCTGCTGCTGCTGGTTGGGTGCCGCTGCTGGTGCTGCAGCTGCTGCTCGTGTGCTGCTGCTGCTGCTGCTGCTGCTCTGGTGCTGCTGTTGCTGCTGCTGCTCTGCTGCTCCTGCTGCTCCGCTCCTGCTGTTTGTTGCTGCTGCTGCTGCTTTGCTGCTGCTGCTGCTTCGGTGTGTCTCAGTTTGGGCCCTCTTGGGTTCGTGCTGCTGCTGGGAGCAGCAGCAAACCCCTGCAGCAGGAAAGAAGCGCGGAGCTGCGCTGCTGCTGCTGCTGCTGCTGCTGCTGCTGCAGGTTTTCCGCGCGGCGCAACCTGGAGGTTTGTGCTGCTGTGCTGCACCCCCCTCTAGCTAGCCAGCTAGCTGCAGCACAAGAGCAGCAGCAAAAAGACTTTTCAGGGTTTTACCTGGAGACTTGGAGGGCCCTGGGGCCCCTCAAGCAGCTCATTTGCTTCGCAGCTTACCAAATCCTCAAGTTCACAGGCAAACCCTAAACCCTAAACCCTAAACCCTAAACCCTAAACCCTCAACGGCCTCGCGCTGCTGCTCGTCCGGCGCTGCGCAGCCGGCCCTCCTCCCCCAACCCTAAACCCTAAACCCTAAACCCTAAACCCTAAACCCTCAGTGCAGCAACCAGCTCCACGCGCCTACCTAGACAGGCCTCCCCACCAAGCCCTAAACCCTAAACCCTAAACCCTAAACCCTCGGGCCCAAACCCTTGTGGGGCTGCAGGCAAAAACCTCTTCGACGGACTCTTCAGCGAAAGAGACAAAGAGACTCTTGCCAAATCCATTGAGCAGCAAAACACCCGCAGCAGCTTGCTGCCAGCAGTTGCTGCAGCAATTCTCTCAGGGGCATGAACCAGCAGCAGCAGCAGCAGCAGCAGCAGCAGCACACGCCCGGGGGGCCCCTTCGGGGCCCTCACATAGGGGATTGCACTTAAGGGGCCCCTCTGTCGGGCTTTTTCTGGGTACTAATTCCCACTTGGGTCATTTCTTGGTACCTACAGGGGCCCCTAGGGGGCCCTTCTAGGGGCCCCTAGGGGCCCCCTAGGGGGCCCCCATGGGGGCCCCCTAGGGGGCCCCCATGAGGGGCCCCCTGCAGGGCAGGGGCCCCTTATAGGGCCCCCAGAAGGGACCTATATGCGTACCCTCTTAGGATCCCCCATGGAGGCCCCTTAATTGGTTTTTTGAGGGCCCCCGGGGGCCCCTAAAGGGCCCCGGGGGGCCCCCAAAGAGGTACCCTTTGGCTCTATTGGCCAGCAAACTGCACCCAAGGGGGCCCCTTTGTTTGCCTAATTTGGGGCCCCACGGGAAGCCAGCTTAGGGGCCCCCTGGGGGCCCCTCTGCTCCTCTAGGGGCCCCTGGGGCCCCCCGGGGCCCCTGGGAGCCCTCAGCGCCTCCTGGGGGGCCCTCAGGGGGCCCCCGAGGGCACTGAGGGGGGCCCCCGAGGGGCCCCCAAGGGCACTTGGGGGGCCCCCATCAAGGGCCTACAGAGTCTCTGCTATCTAACTATATCTGTTGGGGGCCCCCTTTGAGTCCTGACTCGAAGTGCCCCTTGGGGGCTCCCCTAGGGGCCCCCAAAGGGGCCCCCAAGGGGGCCCCCTGGGGGCCCCCCTGGGGGCCCCTGGGGGCCCCCCTGGGGGCCCCCTAATGCAAAGTTTGGGGTTTCTGAAGCCTTAATTGCCTTTAATTGGATTTATTCTCGCGGCCTCTATTAAAGAAAAGCCGAAAAAAAGACACAAATGCATGCAACATGGTTCTAATTCGCTGCGTGGGGGCTTGCTGCTGCTGCTGCAGCAGCTGCTGCTGCTGCTGCTGCTGCTGCTGCTGCTTCTGTTGCTGCTCATGGTGCTGAACTTGCTGCTGATGCCCTCAAGACGCACGCAGCAAGGCAAGCACACACTAGTGAAGCAGAAGCAGCAAGCGCAGCAGCAGCTGCTGCTGTTTCTGCTGCTGCTGCAGCAAGCGCAGCAGCAGCAGCCGCTGTTTCTGCTGCTGCTGCAGCAAGCGCAGCAGCAGCAGCAGCTGCTGTTTCTGCTGCTGCTGCAGCAAGCGCACGCAGAATGAATGGGCTATCGGTCGGTGAAAGGTGGAGCAGTTGCTGCTGTTCCTTGCTGCTGCTGCTCCTTGGTGCTGCTGCTGCTGCTGCTGCAGCTGCTGCTGCGGTGGGCACGGCACTGCCGTGTAAGAGTCCCTTCCCAAGAGAAGGGCCTGCTGCTGCTGCTGCCGCTGCTGCTGCCGCTGCTGCTGCTGCTGCTGCTGCAGCTGCTGCAGCTGCTTATTCCTTCAGCAGCTCATCAGGTGGGGGGCCCCCCGAGGCCCCCAGAGGCGGCTGCGCACCCCAGTTTGCTGCTGCTGCTGCTGCTGCTCCGTCTTGGGGCCTCCAGCCCTGGGGGGCCCCCATGGGGCCCCCTGGGTAAGCAGCAGCCCCAAAGCTGCCTGGCACCTGCATGCATCATGCAGCAGCAGCAGCAGCAGCAGCCAATGAAGCAGCAGCAGCAGCAGCAGCAAAAGAAGCTCCAGCAAGTGCTCATACACCGTCAGCAGCAGACCTCATGATTAGCAGCAGCAGCAACAGCAGCAGCAGCAGCAGCAGCAACAGTAACGGCATCTCAGCCACAGCAACCGCCCCTGCAGCACCGTCCTCATCAGCAGCAGCAGCAGAAAACGCAGCAGCAGCAGCTGCAGCAGCAAAAGCTGAAGCAGCAGCAGCAGCACAGTGCTGCTGCTTCAGCAGCAGCACAGTGAACACCGCCGTCAGCAGCAATAGCGGCAGAAAAAGCGGCAGCAGCAGCACCAGCAAAAGCAGCCGCTGCTGCAGCAGCAGCACCAGCTGCAGCAGCAGCACCAGCACACGCTGCAGCAGCAGCAGCACGGGCTGCAGCAGCAGCAGCAGCAGCAGCAGCAGCAGCAGCAGCATACAGGTGCTTCAAATCCCCTTCTGCGAGCCTCGAAGAGGGCCTGAGCTTCCCTAAATTTGCTTTCCATGTGCTGCACCTTGGAGTAGTTCAGGGCCATCTGCACGCAAACCCTAAACCCTAAACCCTAAACCCTAAACCCTAAACCCTAAACCCTAAGCCCTAGACCGTAGCACTAAACCCTAAACCCTAGATTTGCTGCCCGCGCGCTGCATGCTGAATAAGCTCAGGACAATTTCATGCAGACCCTAAACCCTAAACCCTAAACCCTAAACCCTATACAACCAGAGAGAGCAGCAGCTGTTGCTGCAGCAGCAGCTGCTGCAGCAGCAGCAGGAGCCGCAGCAGCAGCAAATCGGCAGCAGCAAATCAACGAGGTGCAACCAGCGCAGCAAAAAAGAAGCAAAAAGAAGACAAAAAGAAACAAAAAAAGAAACAAAAAAGAATGAAAAAGGATCTAAACCCTAAACCCTAAACCCTAAACCCTAAAAACAAATAAATTAAAATTAAAATTAAATTAAATCTCACATATCCAGCAAAGCCCACGGGGGGCCCCACAGTCAAGCCAACGACGCAGGCCCCCAAAATGGGGTAGCGAAAGCCTGAGCGAAGCACAAACCCTAAACCCTAAACCCTAAACCCTAAACCCTAAACCCTAAACCCTGAACCCTGAACCGTGAACGTGTGTTGGGGTCTTCTCGGGCTGCTCTATTCTGCTGCGCGCATGCATTCTAGATGCTTCTGTTTTGCTGCGCTTGCTGCTGCTGCTGCTGCTGCTGCTGCAGTTGCTGCTTCAGCTGCTGCTGCTGCTGCTGGCGCTGCTGCAGCAGCAGCAGCTGCTCGTGTTGCTGCTGCAGCTTTCGCCGCTGCAGCAGCGCCTCCTCCTACAGCAACTGCTGCTCGTGCAGCCCGCGTTCCCGCTGCAGCACTTGCTGCTGCAGTTGCTGCTGCTGCTGCTGCTGCTGCTGCTGCTGCTGCTGCCTCACTTCTTTTCTTGAAGGCGCTCAAAGCCAAAGCCCCAAGACCCAGAGTTGCTGCTGCTGCACTTGCGCGAGCTCTTGCTGCTATTTGCTGCAGCGTCTGCCGGTCTTCAGGGGACAGCAGCTGCTGCAGTTCCAGCCTCATTGTGCGGGGGCAGGGGGGCCCCAGGGGGCCCCCATTGGGGGCCCCGGGGGCCCCCGGGGGCCCCCCGGGGGCCCCCATGGGGGCCCCCATGGGGGCCCCCAGGCCCGGGCCCAGCTGCCCTGCAGGAGAGCTGCTGCCCAGCCAGCCCTGGTACCCTTGCTGCTGCTGCAGCTGCTGCTGCTGCAGCTGCTGCTGCTGCAGCTGCTGCTGCTGCTGCTGCAGCGGGGAGTACCCCAGGGGGGCCCCCAGGGGGGGGCCCCCTGAAGACACGGGGCAGCCAAAGGCGGGGTTCTGGCCTGGGATCAGCGGGTAGCCGAGACCTCCTGCTGCTGCTGCTGCTGCTGGGCTGCTGCTGCTGCTGCTGCTGCTGCTGCTGCCAATGCCTCCCCAGCCAGCAGCAGGCAGGGAGCCGCCGTCGCCGGCTGGCCTGTCAGAGCTGAGATCCATCGGCGCTTTGCTGCTGCTGCTGCTGCTGCTGCTGCTGCTGCTCTAGCTATGGTGCTGCTGCTGCTCTTCCGTAAACGCTGCTGCTGCTGCTGCTGCTGCTGCTGCTGCTTTGGGTCTAGCGCCGCTCACAGCGCTGCTTTTCCAGTATCCGCTGCTGCTGCTGCTCTCGAAAAAACGAATTGCTGCTAAGAAGCATCAGCTGCTGCTGCTGCTGCTGCTGCTGCTGCTGCTGTAGGCGGCTGTACGTACACCCTAGAAGGCGAAGTCACTGCCAATGCTGCTGCACACAAAAATAAATTTTTATTTTTATTTTTGTTTCTCTTTTGCTTTAATTAATTCCGAAGTGTCAATCTTGCTGCGCTAGTTGGTGGTGTTGACGCAGCTGCGCAGTCCTGTTGCTGCTGCTGCTGCAGCTGCTGCTGCGGCTGCTGCAGCAGCAGCAGCAGCAGCAGCAGCCCTGTGTCGTGGGCCTGTCGGCAGCCAAAAAGCAATTTTACTGCAGCAGACCATCTTTTAGGCGTTTGCTGTTTCTCTTTAGCCACAGAAGCTGAGCCTTCTGCTGCTGCTGCTGCTGTTGCTGCTGCTGCTGCTGCAGGCCCCACACAGCGGCCCGCGAAGTCTGCGCAGCAGCAGCTAAAGGCCTGCATATCTGCAGCAAACTCGGCTGTTTCTGTTGCCAGCAGCAGCAGCCGCTGCTGCTGCTGCAGTTGCTGCTGCAGCTGCCGCTGGTGCTGCAGCAAGCCTTCACATGCAGCCCGCTCGCGACTTGCGGTGTATGTACACCTCGATCACACAGACAAACAGCAACGCAACGAGCAGCAGCAGCAGCAGCAGCAGCAGCAGCAGCAGCAGCAGCAGCAGCAGATGCCGTTAG